GTTCATTTTAAATGTCCCACGCAAGCCGCGCTTAGAACCATCATCATGCACGATATAATAAACGAGTCGGAATGAAGTGAAAAAATCCATGGGGGAAAGCGAGAACATTTTCTTCGAGAATAATCAAAAGGCATCTTTGTCCACAAAAGCTGCACAAGAAAAAACGCACGCAGGCAGCACAGCACGGCACGGCACCTTATCACGGACAGCAATTTAGACACGTGCCATAAGTGTAATCCGACAAGCGGTTCGTTATCAGTAGTTCGTGTAAAAGAAGAAGGATGGATAATAAAGTGCCGTTTTTTAGCTTACGAGACGAATCAGTGAATAATAATATCACACACACAATAATATCATCAATGCGAGATGAGAGATGCATTGAAAATGAAGAAAACTGAATACAGAAAATTTGGATGGTACTGAAATATCAATGAAATAGTATTCCTGAGTATCACATGCAATATCAAAAGTCATCAAAAGCCCACTGATTCATTCATCGACCAACGGCACCAAATGAGTTGGAATGGTTGTTCCCATAGTGATGGATGGCTGGCTGGCTTCGCTGATGCCCGGTCGGAATAATCGCAAATTGTGCCATGATCGGAACGTGATCCGATGGTATATGAGGATGAGGGAAACCAATTATTTTATTCGATTTCACCCATTCCATGCTCAGAGGGCCCAGTACTCCCAGGCGAGCCAGCGACTGTGGTGTCGAAAAGATGTAATCGATCACACCCTTGAAATCGACTCTAAATTTCGAGCGTTTTAGATCATCAGTTCTTTTTTTTTTTTTTTCAAAAACTGACAAAAACATCAGCCATTTGACGTATATGACAACCAATACCGCTAAAAACATTTATGTGCCCTTGCCCGCTGAGGCCGAAGAATCCTTTACAGGACAGTGCGAGTAATGTCAAATGCATTCATCGTGAAAACTACGGGATAGGATACACCAATGGATATTACGTCCGGACTCGAAACTTCCAGGTTTTATAACAGGAATAAAAACTAGTACCCTAGTGAAGAATGCTCGCTAATGATGCTTGAGAGAGAATGGCCACTCGGTGAACCAACGCTGCGATGATATAACAAACACATTTAGAAATTTATGGGGAATTACAATGAAAAACACGATTATTATTCTAGAGGCCGGGAATAGTAGAGTTAGGAGAAAGATTAATTTTGCAGGCTGGTGAGATGGAAAAAAAAGAAGTAATACTGTAACGTGTGTGGTGTCAGTCTTCATGTTTTGACCGTTAGCTACGAGTACTTAGGAGCGAAACAATTTGAGTACGACTCAACTCGTTGCGGCACCAAACTGATACTGATTCCAGTGACATGCCAGAAACTCCTATCACTTTTACTAAACTTTTTAAACAATCTTCGAAGTAAGAAATGGCAGAAAGATAAATCAGCGGTTAAGTGCCTCCACAAAAGTGATATCAGTCAGGCTGCACATGAGTGCTTGTATCGCTTTTGGAAAAAATGATGCGGATGAGTTTTTTTAGTTTCGAGAATAACTTTGGGGTTTCTCCTCTCCAAGTTCCTCCTCCTTCTGCTTCCCTCCTCGGCCCAGGACTATGCGTGTCTTAGTCGTCTCCAGCCCACATTACTGTCGGCACAGAAACAATGGAAGGCAAGCTTTATATCACTGGATCTTTTTTTTAAAGTCAAAGTCAAAACCTTCTCCGTATTCATTCTCACTGAGAAGCAGAGGCACCCGGGAAGAAGCCCGGTTGGCAGCAAATGCCAACAGCAACCACATGTTTTAGGGGGCTGCTTACAAGCAAACTGATAGCGGGCTTGACTCCCTGGAAAATGCCACTACCAATTTACCCTCGAAACGAATGAAAGAATCTTAGAAGAACCGGTTGTCCCAGTGACGGAAGCGATGGTGAAGAGACGAAGCAACAAGTCGAGATTACCGACTTAACCATTACAGCGAATATTGAAAAAGACTACAAATGCCTTGTTGATAAGCTTCCTGAGTGCGCGAGAAGAGCCAAATGTGCTTGATCTCGACGGGCACATTCGAAGAGCTCCGCAGCTATGAAAGTGCTGTTAGAGAAGAAAAGAAATATGAAAAAAGATAAAGCACAAATCGTGCAAGCATATTAGACAGAAGCTAAAGGGGGG